GGGATAGGAAGCTGCATCTTATCCCTACTTCTCTCTGCTGATTGAAACCGCAGGGGAACAACACATGCAGCCAGAGACAGCCTACAGATCAGGTAAGTGAGGGATGGGGGGAGGGTTTGAGATAGCCTATAGATTTGGCGGGGGGAGGCAGCAGCCTATAGATTAGGGGGGAGGGCAGCAGCCTAGATTTTTGGGGGAGGAGGCAGCAGCCTATAGATTTGGGGAGGCAGCAGCCTATAGATTTGGGGGAGGATGGGTGGAGGTTTGAGATAGCCTATAGATTGGGGCAGCAGCCTATAGATTTGGGGGGGGCAGCAGCCTATAGATTGGGGGGGCAGCAGCCTATAGATTAGGGAGTGAGGGGGGCGCAGCCTATTGCATTAGGGTGTGCACCCTAAAGCACAAACACGCCATGTGTATATGTATGTATATGTGTGTGTGTATATATATATATATATATATATATATATATATGCACTGCTGTGTGAGGGTGCTGGTAGTGTGCTATGTGGGTGAGGGTGTTTTTGTGTGTGTTTGTGAGAGTGCTGTTAGTGTGCTGTGTGTGTGTGTGTGTTTGTTCGGGTCCTGTTAGTGTGCGAGTGTGCTGTTTGTGTTTGGGTTTTGTGTGTTTGTGAGGATGCTGTTAGTGTACTGGGTGTGTGTGGGTGCTGTGTGTGCGAGCGTGATGCATGTGTGTGGGTGCTGTTGTGTGCTGTGTGTGTGTGTGGGTGCTGTATGTTTGGGTGGAGGTGGGGGCAGATTAGTTAATATCCCAGTCCTGCTGCCTTTCCTCGTGGTTCAGTGGAGAGTGAACTCTAGCCCGGGTTCTCTGCTGCCTCCCTCCATGCTGCTGTGGACCGGTGAGGTAAAACTTTGATCTCCCCACCGACCCATGGAGGCTTAGACCAGAGCCGCCGCTCGGATAGCGTCGGCTCTGCATGAGCCGACCGGGGAGATCCAGAGATCTCCCCTGCCGGTCTCAATCCATTGGCGTGCCGCGGGGATTAGGGTGTGCCCATGCACACCCGACATGCCCCGTGCGCACGCCTATGGAAGTGAGGGATGGGGGAGACAGCCTACATGAAAAGTCAGCAAGGAGCAGGAAGGTAAAGTAAGAAAAGGAGAAGGAACAGAAATGAGCAGGAAGGGACATCAAGGAGCAGAAAGGGGTAGCAAGGAGCTGGAAGGGACAGCAAGGAGCACAAAAGGTAAAGTAGAAGAAGGAGCAGAAATGAATAGGAAGGGTCAGCAAAGAGCTGGAAGGTAAAGCAGCACAAAGGTAAAGTAGAAGGATCAGAAAGGGTCAGAAATGAGCTGGAAGGGGCAGAAGGAGCACAAAGGTAAAATAGGAGAATGAGCAGGAAGGGCCTGCAAGGAGCAGGAAGGAGCACAAAGGTAAAGGAGCAGAAAGAATCAGAAGGAGCACAAAGTAGAAAAGGGAGCAGAAAGGGTCTGCAAGGAGCAGAAAGGGATCAGAATGAGAAAGGAGCAGAAGGGCGCAAAATAAGCAGAAAGTAGCAGAAAGGTAAAAGAGCAGAAGGGGCCAAGGATAGAAAACAGTGTCAGAAGATAAAAAAAAGACTGTCAAATGAAGGAGAGGAAAAGGAGATTGGAGCAGGAAGGACAAATGAAGTGAACCCTCCACTTTATTCTGGACACCACATCATAAGGCTTTGGTACCTGGGCCTGGCAGGGAAACGCTGGACCTTCTCATCTCCAAAGGTAAAAAATATCAGTATTAATGTGTTCACTTTTATTTACTGAGTGTCAGGAAGCACAGAGTGCCGTTGGGTAGGGGTGTTGCTGATTGGCTAGAGCGGTCAGCTGGCACTCTAAGCCAATCAGTAGCTCCCCATTCAAAAGTAAAAATATTTTATGAACCGGGAACTGGCGATTGGCTTAGAGCGTCAACTGTCCACTCTAGCCAATCAGCGGCACCCATGCCTGACACTCTGTTTCAGAAGCCGAATACCACTGAGCGACCTGGAGCTGGAGGAAGCCTTTGGGGTTAAACCATTTGAGAGTGATTTAACCCCTTAAAGGAAAGCGAGCACCCAGGGGCTTCCTGGCATCATAGCATTTTCATTTAGGTGAAGTTGTTATGGTGACCAGAATGGTCCTTTAATTTGCTTAAAGGAACACTATAGTGTCAAGAATACAAACATATATTCCTGACACCATAGTTGTGAAAACGCTATTCACCCTGGCTTTGTGTGATAATGGCTATGCCCCTTCCCTTTCATGACACTGTCAAAAAGGTACCAAGCATGGATGTCATTACAATTATGCCCCCCCCTGGAAAAATTCCTGCGGACGCCCATGCCTCCTTGAAACCTGAAAATATTTAACGTACCTGAAATCCAGCACCGGGTGACGTATCCAGTGCTGATCTCCATGCCTCTGTCTGACATCATTCCTGCCTTTGCACGGTCCAGTATGAGAAGCCTGTGATTGGACTGTTTTTTTGGCTCATAGCGCAATCAGTGACTCCCCATTCACTAAACTGGCTTGGAAAAGATATGTTTCTTTCCAAGCCAGTTTTGTGAATAGGCAGTCACTGATTGGCTGAGATTGATCAGCTGGCAATCGGTGACGCCCCTGGAACTGAAAATTCTGAAACCGGGAAGGAGCTGAGATCGCTGCTAGAGGCAACTTTGAGGTTAAATTGCTTGAATACAGTGTAACCTTAAAGATAGAGGGCCTCCAGGCACCATAACAACTTAATTTAGATTACATTGTTTTGGTGCCTGGAGTGTCCCTTTAAGGATCCTATCTACAAATAGAATGTCTCACTCAATGTCTTACTTTGGCGCTGTATAGAGCTGTGAAAGCTAAATAAATGGAACATTCTATTTTCCCATAGGGAATGCTGGGACAATCTTGTGACAACAGCATAGTGTAGAATGTGACCTTTAAGCAATTAAACTCTTGTAGAATAGTAAAGGTGCACTGCAGGGGTGAATAGAGGGAAATTAGATAAAGGGGGTGTGGCGGAACCAGACTCGCCACTGGGCATTGGAGAAGACTGATTGCCAGCCTCCTGCCATGTAACTATGGCCCCTGAGATGTATTGCCTGCTCTCCTGTACTGCTGAGGATTGCTACCAACTAGGTGGATTTGGCTATGGAGCTTGTGTAGTGCCCTCTGTTGGTAGCAACAGTAATATGCACTACCTGAATAGCAAGACTGGTAATTTGCATATTTGGGTAGATTTGCATATCGCTAATTCTGCATGCAGGAGAGACATTTTGTGTTAATTATGGTCTTCCCCACCCACCCATTTATAAATATGTAATTATGTTATAATAAGTCACTGTATGTTGCCTGCTATGATTTGACTGTTTGTAATTTTATTGAGTTTTCACAGCAATGTTAATGAAATGACCATATGGGCTAGTCCCAAGTAAAATAAAGTTTTAGACAGTTCTACTTCACCCTCAATTTGGAGTGCTGTCTCTTATTGGGGGAATCTGTTACAAGGGATTGCTATGCTAGTCCCCAGTCGGGGTGCCAGGTGATCCGTTATGGGGGAAAGGGAGAAACAAAAACTGGAAAGAGAGAAAATGGTTCTCATTAAGAGAGAGTAGATAAGAAAGGGAATGATGAGAAATATAGGTGAGAGGACCCAAAAGAGGACAGCTGGAGGGATATAATGGCAAAACTCCTAAACCAGGGCTCACAACCATTTATGTATGTGCCACTGCCAAAGCAGGAACAAGCATTTTATTCAGAAACAGAGGTTATCAATGTCAAGTAGTCAAACCAGATGATTTTTAGACCAAGTTTAGGTCACATTTTGTGTTTTGAAAAAGTGCAGCTTGGTGATATCTAGCAATCACATGTTCACTGGTTTAATTAACTAGGGTGTTTAAGGGCACTTTAACCTTTTGTCTTACATAGTTCTAGGGATGCTACATGCTGTTAACGGGCACAGTAGATGTAACAATAGCAGATTACATTTATAAAAGGACTGATTAACTAAACAGTGATTTGACAACAGAATTGTAACATTAAGCTCAAAATAGGTGAATTTATTGAAACCTGAGCATTTATTTTTTTCTGCGTTTCAAATTACATTTTGCACATTAGTTGTCATTTCACCATCTCAGGGTTATTCACTAAAGTCAGAAGTCTGAAATTAATTTTACATTTAAAGGGACACTGTAGGCACCCAGACCTCTTCAGCTCATTTAAGTGGTCTGGGTGCAATGTCCCGTGTGACTTAACCCTACAGTAGTAATTATTACAGTTTCTGAGAAACTACAATAATTACCTTGCAGTGTTAAGTCCTCCTCTTGTAGCTGTCTGCAAGACAGCCACTAGAGGGACTTCTGGGTGCCTAGACGACTTTTCCTCACGCAATGCATAGGGACTTCCAGCGTCACCAGAATCCCTATAGGAAAGCATTGAATATTGCTTTCCTATGGGGAAATCATGATGCGAGCACGGTCATTGCCGTGCATGCACATTAGGTCTCCCCCGCCGGCTGACGTCAGCGGGGGAGGAGCGTGGGCGGAGCTGGTTTCATGTGAGGGACATTGGTGCTGGATTCAGGTGAGTAACTGATGGGGTTTTAGCCTTTTCGGCGATGTGGGATGGGGGGAGTGAGGCACTGTAGGATTCTATAGTGCCAGGAAAATGGGTTTGTTTTCTTGGCACTAGAGAATCCCTTGAAGACCAGAGTAGGTAAACTGAAGCATTGCTGACTTGAGGAATTTTCCCAGATTGACAATTGGCATTACATTTGAAATTCACTTTGAATCCCCACTTTAGTAAATAAATGTGTGTATGTATATATATATATATATATGTGTGTGTGTTTAGTGAATAGCCTCCAGGGAAGCTTGACAGAGAAGAGTGTTTTTTTAATTAGGTTCAATGAAAGCCCACCTTGGTATTGAGCTACTGTTTATCTGTATATTCTATCCTACAACAACTCTAAGTCTAAGTTATAGTCAACAGGTTTATATTAATGGCAAAGACAATTGCTGCTGTCTAATCAGTTTTATTTTATTTATGATCCAGAATATGAGCTACATATAGTATGATAGCATTAACATTTAGCAGAAAAATATTTGAAAGAAATAGAAATTATACTAAAAGGTACATATTTTGAATTCAATCCGCTTTCACTGATTTTCAGGATTGATTTTCACAAAGACGTTTTCTGAAAAGAACAATGAAAAAGTACAGTTAATACTGTGAAAGAAGCTTTAGAAATAATCCCATCTATAAGTATTGTGAGTTAGTGGATTATTAATTAAACAATTAATCGTGGCTAGTTTATACCCAAATCAAGAAATGAGTCTAAAGTAGCTGAAGTAAATAAAAATTTCCAGTGCAACAAGGTTAGAATTTCGAGAACTCTTCTATTGTCACCTATAGTTTGCTAACTCAGATCAGTTTGTTTTCCTGGCACTATAGTTTCCCTTTAAGTGGACTGATATGACAGGCAGGTATGGTGTTATAGATGGAGATATTAGATTATTAGATATTACATATAAAAATTGATGTGGTTTTATTCCAGCTTTTCTGGTGATCTGGGAAACTGAGAAATATTTATTTCCAACCAGCAGTTGAACTAAAGAGCAAAGGGTGCAAGATTTATTTTGACCCCCTATCACTCCAGCCAATTAACCTTTAATTCCCCCAAAATGTTCTTGGTACTGCCAAATAACTTCCTCTATTGTCACGGGACCATACATCCCCCTGCCAGTTTACCCTCTGCCTCCCCAATTTAGACTGCCGTCCCTCAATTCTGGTAAGCCCTCATGCCATTGTGCATGCAGTAGTGATGCCCTGTGTCCAACCTATATCTATAAAAGATATTTATTGCAAAAGAGCACAGCTGCAAATTCAGACAATACAGTTTAATAGACTAATTCCGACACTGTCTGAGCCTCTAAACCAAAGAATCAGTTGCCGTTGCACACTGCAACCATTAATGTGCTTCTTTTAAAGAGTATTTCACATATTGTGCACTAATGTGAAAAGTCCTCAAGTAATAATCATTTTATTCTCATGTTTCTAATTTGTGGAGTTTTTTTTAAACATTATAGAAACATAGAAACATAGAATGTGACGGCAGATAAGAACCATTCGGCCCATCTAGTCTGCCCAATTTTCTAAATACTTTCATTAGTCCCTAGCCTTATCTTATAGTTAGGATAGCCTTATGCCTATCCCACGCATGCTTAAACTCCTTTACTGTGTTAACCTCTACCACTTCAGCTGGAAGGCTATTCCATGCATCCACTACCCTCTCAGTAAAGTAATACTTCCTGATATTATTTTTAAACCTTTGTCCCTCTAATTTAAGACTATGTTCTCTTGTTGTGGTAGTTTTTCTTCTTTTAAATATAGTCTCCTCCTTTACTGTGTTGATTCCCTTTATATATTTAAATGTTTCTATCATATATATTTTGTCTGGGTTTGGCATGCTTTGACTAGTAATGCAACAAAACATTTGTATTCTGGGGAGAAGGCATCCTACATCTGTGTAAAGAACACATGTACTGGAGAATAAGAAGATAATGACAAATATCCATAAAATGGCAGAACAAATAAAAAAAAATATATTACCTTTTCTATTAACCAAAAAGCCCAGATAATAGGTTTGAAGTTTTGCCAGCCCCGCCACCTCCGGTTAATGTGTTGAGTGCTCCGGTTACTCCTCCAGGTAATCCACCAGACACAGGCCCACCTGATGCTCCTCCAAGTAATGCAGCAGTCACAGGCTCACTGAGTGTTCCTCCAAGCAATCCACTATTGCCAAATCCACCGAGTAATCTTCCAAGCAATCCACTAATGCCGAGTACTCCAGGTAATCCAGCAGGATTCACTAGCCCACCGAGTACTCCTCCAGGTAATCCAGCAGGATTCACTAGCCCACCGAGTGCTCCTCCAAGTAATCCACAAATGCTAGACCCACCGAGTACTCCTCCAGGTAATCCAGCAAGATTTCCTAACCCACTGAGTACTCCTCCAGGTAATCCAGCAAGATTTCCTAACCCACCGAGTACTCCTCCAGGTAATCCAGCAAGATTTCCTAACCCACCGAGTGCTCCTCCAGGTAATCCAGCAAGATTTCCTAACCCACCGAGTGCTCCTCCAGGTAATCCAGCAAGATTTCCTAACCCACCGAGTGCTCCTCCAGGTAATCCAGCAGGATTGCCTAACCCACCGAGTGCCCCTCCAAGTAGTCCACCTCCACCTAGTAGCGGGCTAAGAAGATTACTTGCACCTGCCAGTCCTAAAACTAACTGAGTAATTGCTGGTACTCCTGAAACAATTCCTCCAAGCCCCTCTGTTAGTTGCCCAGCCCCTCTTACAGTTGTACCAAGACCACCTGCTGTTCCTAAAAGCCCAGATGCCAGCTCTAAAATATGACGTCTATGACGATGGTTTCCTTCTGCTCCTTTAGTTGTTCCATCATTATGATGCTGATGGGAAATGATGAAATCCTAAAATGTAAAACATGGGTTGTTTTTTTCCACACATTGCAACATTTTTTCATTTTTCCTTCAGTTAGTTTCACAGTACAGTTAGACATTGTAGAACTCTTAAAGATGATAATTCAGCCTTCTATGACAGATAGCAGAGCTGCAGTGCAGGGACCGTTTTAGTGTGTAAAACTTAGTGCTGTCCCTACTCTTTGTGTGTGTGTGTGTGTGTGTGTGTGTGAGTGCGTGTGTGTGTGTTTACAACCCCCCTAACACAGGAAATGCCTTGCAGGGGAGCAGTGACAGCACTCAGTGATGCATACTGTATAACAGCTACTGTACCTCTGCTGTTAATCATAGGAGGCTGGCTGGTCTATAGAAAACATAGGACGATGAGTACTTAAAAAAATAAAATTAAAAAAATCTATCAAATTCCACATGCCCTAAACATTTTCTTTCCTAACACCAAATTTACTCCCTCTCAAAACCTAAACAAACCCTTTCTTAGTCCCCGAGCACCCCAATAATATTTATCCCTACTAACCCTATACCCAATAATACTAAACACTCATTATATCACAACTGTAAACTTTATCAAGCTTCTAACACTCTATGTAAGATAACTCTGTAATTACCACTCTTTACACTTACCCTAACCACTTCTAACATTTTTTTTAACACTGCATGCATTTACACAGTTTCATTCCCTCACTTTACTGACCAATTCAAAACAATGCCCTACAAGCAGAAATATACATAAAAACATATGACATTGATATGTGTGTGTGTGTGTGTGTGTATTTATATATATATAAATACACACACACACACACACACACACACACACACACACACACACACACACACACACACAAACACACAGTTGTAATCAAAATTATTCAACCCCCATTGAAAATCAGGTTTATTGCCATAATTTACAGACTTTCAGCTGTTTGCAATGTACAAATAAAAAACAAAAAATAAAATAAAACATTTAAATAGCTCAACACAATGAATGCTTTAAGTGGTTTCCCCAAATTCAACTGAAAATGCAACTTATAGTGTTCCTGCAGAAATTTAGCCAACTACTCATGATCAATCCAGTTGATAAATATTCTTGTGTTTACTTGCTGTAACCTCCTTCTTCAAATGCCACCAAAGATTTTCTATGGGGTTTAAATAAGGTGACTGTGATGGCCACTGTATAATTTTTTAGGACTTCTTCTGCAACCAAAACTTGGTGGAATATGCATGGGATCATTGTCTTGTTGGAAGGTCCAATGACTCCCAAGTTTAAGCTTCCTCACAGACAGCATGATATTTTCTATTAGGATTTCCTGATACTTCAGTGCTTCTATCTTGCCCTCCACATGGTGTAGGTTTTCAATGCCAGAGGATGCAAAGCAGCCCCAGAGCATCACCGAGCCACCACCATGCTTAACTGTAGGCAGAGTGTTCAGAGTTTTCTTCATTCTTCTTCCAGTTACAGGTTTGTTTCATCACTCCACAGAACAGAATCCCAAAACTTCTGTGGCGTATTTATATCATTCTGAGCATATTGAAGCAGACTTTTCTTGTGCTTTTGGGTCAGTAGTGGTGTATATCTTTTAGTTCTGGCACTGAAACCTTCTGTGTTTAGTGCGTGCCTTGCTGTGCTCACTGAAACCTCAGTGCCTGTTGCCACCAAATCTTGCTGCAGGTCATTTGCGGTCACTCATGGGTTTTTCACAACCTACCTTCTCAGAAATCTGGTTGTAGCCACTTATAGCTTCCTCTTTCTGCCCCGTCCAAGTAGTGTAACCATTGTTCTTTGAACTTTAAACTTACAAACTATGCTTCCAACGGTGTCTCTAGAAACATTCACTGCCTTTGCTCTCTTTTTGTATGCTGTTCCTTGTGTGTGAAAGGCAATGCTCTCTTAACTGGACCACTCTGTTGACTTAGCCATATTTCTAACATGCAGTCAAATATGACCCTCAACTTTTCAGGGCTGAACAATTTTGATTACAACTATATTGAGTGAAATACTGAAATATCCAGGGGAGAGGGAACAGGGGGAGGAGGGCGTAGAATTATGTGGCTATAGGCACCTATTATGTAAATCCAGCACTGATTAGCATGGTGATCAGCTGGAGGCACAATGTCAGGTGAGGTTGTTAGTACGTGGCTCTACTATGAGCCAGGTAGAGAGACAATTTTACAAACCTTAGCTTAATATTAAATACCATTTCATTCAAGGTGGGAAATTACATTGGTGTACTTACAATTAAGAAATACCTTGTTTTATGCAGTCTGGTATATAGTTGCATTCCTTTTTAGACCAAATGGCAAAATAAACTAAAATGTTGGTTTTTTTTTGTACATTTTGTCTGGAAATGAGTATTGGATTACTATATAAATGAATGACCAAATGACCGAATAGATCACTGAACAAATTACTTCAACACCATTTGTACATTCAGTCATAGCGCACATGTCTTTACCTTTGATTGCATTACAAACAGATACATTGCAGTCAAATTATATTGCAGTTTGATGCAGCATAATAATAAATTATCATTTCTACTTTGTTTCTTTCTGGAGTGGAATTCTTATTAATGTACCAGAGTTCTCACGCCCTATGAAACCTTGATAAAGCTCTAGGGATAAGACAGATAGTGGATCCTAAGCTATTTATACCACCACCTTCAGGCAGCCTTTAGGATGTGTTGTTTATCGGCTGAATGTCTGTACACTGACAGTATAATGTTTCCCTGATCTTCAGTTTGTCTTCCTTTTTATTTGTGTACAAGAGCATCTATTACGTGGCTCACATTAAAAGTATGCTTTTTAAAAAAATTTTTATTTTTTATAAATATTTTACTTTCATTTTGCATTGATGATTCATTCATCCCCAGAGAGAACAGATGAATGAAATTCTTTAAATTAACAAAATGTTTTAACAAATTTTGGACAAACTTAATAGACATGTGATCGAACTTCGGATGCTCTTTGACAGAAAAAAACATTTTTCAGAACGAATAAATTTGTCGAAATGAAAACTATTGCCGTGCACATGTCATAAGCTTAATAGTAGTTATACATGCCATTTTAATGGCAGTCACGGAAATCATGGCTCCTGGTACTATTGGTCCCAGTAATCTCGGGCAACACTGGGACATGTGGAATAAAAAAATTCAATACTTTTGGTACAGTGATTTAAAAAATGTTGAAACTGTCATGAGAATTCTTACCATTACTTTACGTTTAGCTGTAGCCAAAAGAATTATCTGTAATTGTAAAACACAAAAATAATGATAAAGTGAAATATTTGTTCCAAATCAAATATTATAATAACAAAAATAATCAAATGAAGATATGTCTGTTAGGGTGAACTTAATCATTTTAAATAAAATCAAATAGTGATGTTAATAAAGGAACATTATAGGGTCAGGAATACAAATGCGTATTCCTGACCCTATAGTGTTAGTTTGATTGTTAAAGGGAAACTATTGTGCCAGTAAAACAATTTTTTCCTAGCACTATAGCTTCTTATAGGGCCCCCCACTACCGCGGCCCCCTCCCGGTTGTGCAGAAGGGGTTAAAAACCCTTTCGGTTACTTACCCGATTCCGGCGCTGATGTCACTCCGCGCTGGTTTAGGTTCCGCCTCTGCTCCTCCCTGCCTCGAGGGAGTGTAGAACTATACGGTGCTATAGTGTCAGGAAAACAACTTTGGCTGCGCTTGTACTAGTACTTTACCTATTTGAAACTATGTATAATGCTTTACTATGGGGGTTCTACATGACCCTGGATCTCCTCATGCATAGAGTGAGGACATACAAAAGTTGTCTGTAGTGAGTTTTTGGTAGACAGCCACAAGAGGTGGAGTTAACCTTCAAAGGTAATTATTTGAGTTTTCTAAAAACTGCAATAATTAGCTTTGCAGGCTTAAGGGACCTAGGACACTGCACCCACACCATTTCAATGAGCTGAAGTGGCCTGGGTGCCTATAGTGTCCCTATAACTTTTCTTAACACTGATTTCAGTGCTTCTCTGAGTAGTTTTACCTTCTGCTTTGAATGAGCATTCAAAGTCAGTGATATCTTCCTGGCTGTCTGATTGACAGCTAAGGATCTTTAGAATATTACACAGAGGGGGCCTTCTGTTATCCCGCAAAGCACTTTGATAAGATGAAATACTTCAGGGGACTGGAGTGTTTCTTTAAAAAAAAATTTAAAATAAATATAGAGCCAAAATACATTGCTTTATTAAACTATGATTATGTAAGGTGCTATTATTTCTTAAATTTTTTTTTTTAATTTCTTTAATTTGTGCTATACACCTATGTTTGTTTGTTTGTTTGTTTGTTTGTTTGTTTTTTTTACCTGTTTTGCCACCTCTATCAGATATTTCAGGGATTCACTTTCTTCATCAATTTGTAGATCTTCCTAAAACGTTGGAAATAGATGGGAAACAGACATTTTATATTATAGGTCTAGCCAGGCAGAAACACTAAAATCTCTGTGCAATAAATACAAGGATCAACTGTTAATTCAATTCTTAGCTTTGCATCCAGATGATCTAGAAATACTCTGAATTTGGAAATAGTGCCCTATGCACTGAATAGATATTAAAGGTTAATACGGAGTAAACAGAAAATTTCTATCTCATGATTTAGTACTTGGACAGACAGGTAAAATTAATTAACTATCCTTGGCAGCTCGTTCTTTCCTCTGTGTATGCATAGATATTAAATCCCCAAACACATATTTAACTACTGTGTAAGGTAAAATGCTTAGTAAACATAAGTATATACGCATACATACTTAAATACACACACACACACACACACACACAGTCTGAATTTATCCTTATTCTTCACTGATTTTATTATACATGTCCCTCCACATGAATACTCCTTATAAGTTTGGCTCCCCATGAAAACCTTGTAGGGAAAGATTTTAGGGACAAATTGTTTAGTCCAGGTGTGCCCAAAAAGGTAGATCCCCAGATGTTTTAAAACTACATTTTCCATGATGCTTTCTCATTCTAAAGGTATGCAAAGCATCATAGGAGCTGTAGTTCTACACTATCTGGGCAAATACCTTTTGGGGACCCCTGGTTTAGTCAATTAAATAAATTGATTTGTAAAAAACCAGGCTACAACACACAAGCATTGACAATAGTAAATTTTAAAAATCTTTCCAAATCAGCTAATTTATTAGGTTTTCAGGCATGTTGATAATCTCCCGTGAACACAAAAAAAACATAAAACACACGCCAATTGCACTGGTTTCAAAGAACATTGTAAAAGGGTAATTACTATAGTAATGCCTGGTCCCAGAAGGTCTACTTGAGTGCAGTCGGTCACATTCTGAAATTAAATATAAAAAATATTTTGCCGTGAATGTAATTTAGGTTTGTTAATATAGGTTTTAATTAACATTTCTATCCTACCCAACACATACTCGGAATGGTTACATGCAAAAAGAGTGTAGGTATAACAACCCAACAGGATTCAGATGACTATTATATAAACTTAATAAAGAGAATTAAAAAAAAAAAAAGTAAATAAAAAATGTTATGATATTATTGTGGGCTGGATGAGCATCTTTGTTCCCGACAATGTGTATACACTTTCTAAAATTTGTTATGAATTCATTTTATGATATATAAGTGTATATATGGGCGTGTGAGCATGTGCTTGTATACAAGTGCATGTGCATAAATGTCCAATTCCTTTTTCAATTTGAGGGAGCCACGGGTTTCCTTCATTATTTTTTCATTTTTAATTATGTTCTGTGATATATTTCTTCCATACCTCATTTGTGCTGCAGAATATGTTGATGTGATATGAATTATAATAATTAACAATGTAAAAAATATGCCATCCAAGGCTTTGGATCTATTTGAAAGACTTTTATGTGAGCAGTATATGAAAATAAGTAATACATTGAAGACAAAAAATGACACTTTTTAGCTTAATGGAGTTGTTTTGGTTTCTAAATCCCTGCAGTGTAAATGTTCAATTCTCTGCCATTTGGGAGTTAAATCCTACGTGCATGCAGTCCTAGTCACACTTACCTGCCTGTAACCTACACAGTTTCACTGAACACTTTCTGTAGAGTCATCCAATGTTTAAACTTCCTTTATTGCACAGCCTCACACATTTAGAATGTCTTACCCCCTGCTCTATTAATAACCTGCTAGAGCCTAGAGTCTCCTGTGTATGATTAAAGTTAAATTTACAGTGCAGGAGTAAGTTTAAGATCTGATTGAAAATTAACCTATTTTGTTCATGCAAAATTTTGTTCATTCAAAACAACAAAGTAATTTAACTCCTAAATGGCAGAGAATTGAGCGGTGAGACAACAGGGGCATGAACTATACAACAAAACTGCTTCATCAAAGTTGTTTTGGTGTCTATAGTGTCCCTTTAAGGAGACATTTTGGACAGGAATATATTGGGAGAAATGTTGAATTAACAAACATAATACTAAAATGGCTAACATAAAGATAGATATTTTGCCTTGTGTTATTTAAAAAAAATCTTTTAAATGAGAACGTTCGTTTTATGTGTTTTAATGTTGAACAAGAGTCTGTGAGATACGCACAGCACTCCCTTAAAAACAATGGAAGAGTCAGCAGATAGCTGAAATCTCTCTATGTATCCTCATGTATGTTTGTTCCATTTTTGTACATTTTACTGTATGACACACAGATTACTAGGACTTTTCAAGTATTAACGTACCTCTAGGTTTTCAAGCGATTGGATTAATCCTGCTTTGTCTCCCACTGTCTAATAAATAAATAAATATATAATTGTATTTAATTTTAACACAAAAAATTATCTTCAAAATGACATTAAAAAGAAATGGTTATATATCTGAATCAATAATAGCACATAAATAATTATAGTAATGAATGAAGCATAATCTCTTTACCTTCCATGTTTCAAAGGAACTCAACAAAGACATCAGAGCTTCAAGAGTTAAATGCAAATTGTTTTTCTGTAGTAACAAAACCACAATTAGAATTTGCTTGTTATAGCACAATTCACTTTAGATGAACTATATATGTTATGGCTTAAATGTAAACATCTCTATAGATTATTACCAAAGGTTCTGAGAGACAATTTAGTCTTTTATCTGCACCAGGGTTCTGATCATTACCATCGCCAATGGGATTTGATGTAACTGTACCTAGAATATTAATAAAGCATAGCTGTAAAACACGTTGTGTATATATATTATTATTATTATATTATTTATATAGCGCCAGCAAATTCCGTAGCGCTGTACAATGGGTGGACTTACAGACACGTAATTGTAACCAGACAAATGGACGCACAGGAACAGAGGGGTTGAGGGCCCTGCTCAATATATATATATATATATATATATATATATATACGAAAAATATATAGAAGGTGCACTCACAGGTCTTTAAATAAGTGATAAATTTATTCCAACGTGCAAATTACATATGCCACAAAATCTATGATGATCGACGTTTCGACCCACAAAGGGCCTTTTTCAAGATCTTGAAAAAGGCCCTTTGTGGGTCGAAACGTCGATCATCATAGATTTTGTGGCATATGTAATCTTTTGATATATTCAACAAAGGGTGAGTGCCAAGTTCACTTTTTATATATATATATATATATATATATATATATATATATATTTATACACGCACGCGACTACAATTTATGCCTGCCTTATATAAGTGTAAAGGAAAAAACGACGTTAGTGAATGCGAATTCTCAACATATCCTGTATTTAAAAAAAAAAAGACATTTATTCTATATATTCCTTGATGTACGTAAAGGCTATATGGTGGTCGGTATCAATGGACACAGATGTGAGTAGCATGCAGCTGTTGGATGCAAGTATTGACCATGGAAACCCGTTTTTAGTCACAAACATCTAGCAGTTTTGTACTAAGGGCTAGTAACATAATATCATGTGAAATTAATCTGTGAATAATTGTTGAAATTTGCAATATTTTTCGTATAGCAAATATTATATTTCAACAGATTGTTAGTTGCACTATTATGGTTATTATTTCAATAAATTGTTTAATTCATGCTAATTCATTATATGTTCTCCTTGCCAATCCAATTTTTTTAATTGGTACTCATCCCATTACTCCATCACCATGATCTCCTTCATTTCTCATTTTTGCCAATATTAATTTAGTCTAATTGCACTTTATTATTATGTTTATTATATTCATTTTTGACTATGTAATTTTTGCACTAATTTTTTGCTGTATATTATTAATCAGTGTAGAATTTCTTTGATGAGAAATTTGGCTACTTTCGTCTTAAATTTTAAATCCATTTTGAATTCTCACTACTGAATAACCCTCTAGGACTATGAAAGCAAATATAGATATACACAATATGGACGTATCTTTCGCTCGTATGTTTGAACTCTAAACGCTATCTTTTGCATAATATCTTAAATTGAAGAATTATATTGATACATCATATATATTAAATTAGATAATCACTGACTTGATACCATTAACTTCAAAATAAAAAATCATTTGAATATACGTATTTCAGTATTTATATTATGTGGGAATAGTTCTATTCAGTACATAAAGTACTACGGCAAACAACGTAGATACTTACAGAAACAGTAGCAGGCAGCCAGCAGCAGAAAAGCTACTGAGGGCATCATTGTGGTAGTTCTTCTCAGTAGTTCTAACCAAACACTTGCTCCTTCAAAAAGCCTGTGCAATGACACCTTTCAAGTACATCAATTTATACACATGCAGCTGTAATGAATGTTAGGGTGTTGATCATTCAAGCGTCACAGATTACTGCAAAGCATGAAATTCATCTGAAAAGAATAAAACCACAACCGGGAGATAACATTTGAAAATTGATCATAATCTTTGTTTGCCTTGTAGTGCCGAGGGGATCATCAAAGGCGGCTGATGTGTTGATGTTTGCCATTTCCGTGAAGCAGAACCAATCAGTGTTTTTCTCAAAGTTCATGTCACTCGTAGTCATCAGTGGTGTCAGATCTCAATATTCAGCCACCAGTATCTCTCTGTTACTACAGCCAACTAGTAATATGATCAATGGACCATCTTGGTTGCAACACCCTGCTTCCTCCATTGAAATGAAACACCATTAACCACTGGAAAAATTAAACTCACAGTCTCAGGCATTAGCATCCATTTAGCATTAAATGTTATATTTACACTTAGGTCATGTAGACTTAAGTCATGTAGACTTAGGTCAATGGTAGAAAAATAATTTCTCTAATCCACTGATTACTCACTAAGCATATGATTGATAAAGTGCCAACATTTTCCGTGGTGAATGTACAGAAACAGAAGATGCCGAGGGCCCTGCTCAAACAAGCTTACAATCTAGGGGGAATGGGGTAAAAGTATACAAGAGGTGCTGGTAGGATTTATTTAATGTATGGAAAAACAGAAATTTTTACTTACCGTAAATTCTTTTTTTCTTAATATGGTGGCAGTATGTATGGGTTGTGCTTCCTAACTGGGACAAGCATCTGCAAGATAGGGGATTTAAAAAAGTCCCTCTTCTTTACCCTATAAAGGGCTTCCCTGGCAAACCCACCTCATTCGTAGCAAGAATACACATCTAAGCCACACACTGTAAGCAAAAATGTAATTTAGAGGGAGTGAGATTTGTACTGCCACCATATTAAGAAAAAAGAATTTACGGTAAGTAAAAATTTCAGTTTTTTCTGACATATGGTGGCAGTACTTATGGGATATAGCAAGAGTCCCAATCGGATGGGCCTTATGACAGCTTGAAGTACCTATGCCCTAACGCAATTTTAGAGGCCGAGAGTATTTCTAGCCTAAAAATGCCTGACGTTTTTTAAGGTGCTAAAAGCTGACCAAAAAGCAGCCATGCTGATTTCTTTGGGTGAAGCAAGAGTTTTTCTCTGCCCACGAAGTTTCCATTGCCTTTGTGGAATCTGCTGTGAAAGTCGCTGGCGAATCAAAACTACTGAAGCATAGGCCATTATGATTGGCTAGATAACGAGAAATAGAATTAAAAAAGGATTTATTCTTAAAACTTCCCTAGAAGTTGACAACGGGTGATCTGATCATCTGAATTTGGCTGATATTGATAGGTACATCTGAAATGCCATCTAGTTCCAGCAGGGAGGTGGCATAATTATTGAAGGCTAAGCTGATTAATGGCTCTAAAGGATAACTCTGGAAGAATTGAAGTGTTAGGATGAAACACAACTTTCACCCTAATGGAATATAAGAAATTCCATTGAAGATGATATATCCTCGCTTACTCTCTTGGTAGAGGAATGGCCACTAAGAATGCTGGTTAAGCGTTAGCATATTAAAAGAAACCACCTCCAAAGTAAAAGAGGACTTGAAAAACTGAAGAAAGATCCCAAGAGGGAAACAGAACTTCCTGGGTGGCCTAAGAAGCCTAATGCTTTAAAAAACAACAACTTCTAAACAGTAAATACGAAGACCAATCCCTTCTCAGAAAGAACTTAGGGAATATAATATGGTCTTAATGTGGAAACGCCCAACCTGTGGAAATCTCCTGCAGGAAGTGTACGTTTGAACCACCCAGACAAATGACCTAGAGGACAATGATGTTCCTTACAAAAATGTAGAAACTGTACCCAAATCTTAATGTTAAACAGTCAATAAGAACCTTTTCAACACTTCCAGCAGGATATCCTGTCTTCCAAAATTGTTTTCGAGATCGGAAGATCTCCATACTTGAAACTCATCTCCACTAAGGCTTAAAACTGGCTCGTGTTTGGCCAGTACGGAAAGATTGTCAGAACCACTGCTCTGTCCGTTCACCTCTTTGAAGAAGTCTTGGAAAAAGTCTATAGGAGAAAAAATGTAAGCCTGGAGAAATACCCCTTCAGCCACTTACCTTTCTCCTGCGCCGGGCTCCCTCGGCTCTGGGGAATTCTTGAATTCTGCAAACGTATTCAAACCACCCATAGGAAAGCATTACTCAATGCTTTCCTATGGACGTCCAGCTTGTCTTCTCACTGTGATTTTCACAGTGAGAATCACGGAAGCACCTCTAGCGGCTGTCAGTGAGCAGCCATTAGAAGCTGGATTAACCCTTAGTGAAACAGCAGTTTCTCTGAAACTGCTATGTTTTCAGCTGCAGGGTTAAAACTAGAGGGTTAAATATAAATGCAATACTCCCAGCCAGAGAGCAATCTGGCAAAAGAGTACAGAGAGTGTTACAGGGGTACTAAAAGGGCTTAACCCTAAAACATACAGAAAATACAAAAAATAAGGAAGGAGGAGCATCCCTAAACAGGAAGCAAGTCCCATCAAAACCAGTACCCCCTATAGAACACTATATATAGAGACTTTCAAGAAAAACTGTGTCTCAGACAAGGTACAAAAATAATAAAGTTTTATTGATAGTAAAAATAAGCGTTAAAAGACTAAACACCAAGTGTCAAAAATACACCAGACTGCTAACCTATAGGAAAATGGAAGAATACTGAGAAAAAATCCAGCTCAATTTAACACCAACTAGTAACAGAGTTATATTATAGATTGAATACTTCGTAAATAGTTCACTCAGAGTAACAGAGTGACTTATTATGTTTGTACCTTGTCTGAGACACAGTTTTTCTTAAAACTACAGGGACCTGGCACCAAGACCACTTCATTGAGCTGAAGTGGTCTGGGTGCCTATAGTGGTCCTTTAAGGACTAATAAATGTTAAAAATTATTTTAAAGTAAGTAGTCAAACCGTTTGAGAACAGTTTGACAACCTACCTGGGGTCTGCTGTGATATGAGGCTGTAGTAGGGCATAGGAGCAGTGGTGTGTGTGAGTGGTGCAGTGTGTGTGAAAGGTTCAGTGTGTGTGTGGGGGGGGGGTGTTGTGAGTGAATGTGTAGGGTGTGTGGGCCAATGTGTGTGGTGTATGTGGGGCTGTGTATGTGTGTGTGTGTTGGCAGTGTGTGTGTGTGGGGCTATGTGTGAATGTGTATGGTGTTGGGGCAGTGTATGTGTGTGTGGGCAATGTGTGTATGGGGAGGGCAGTGTGTGGGGGCAATGTATGTATGTGCGTGGGGGCAGTGTAAGTGTGGGGGGCAGTGTGTGTGTGTATGGGGAGGCAGTGTATGTATGTGTGGGGCAATGTGTGTGTATATATGTGTGGGCAGTGTATGCAGTGTGTGTGTATATATGGGTGGGCAGTGTGTGAATATATGGGTGGGCAGTGTATGCAGTGTGTATATATATATATATATATATATATATATATATATATATAGGTGGCCAGTGTATGCAGTGTATGTGTATATATGGGTGGGCAGTGTGTGTGTGTGTGTGTATATGTGTATATATATGGGTGGGCAGTGAATGCAGTGTGTGTGTGTATATATGTGGGTGGGCAGTGTGTGTCTGTATATATGGGTGGGCAGTGTGTGTATATATGGGTGGGCAGTGTATATATATATATGGGTGGGCAGTATATATATATATGGGTGGGCAGTATATATATATATATATATATATATATATATGGGTGGGCAGTGTATATGTATATATGGGTGGGCAGTTTATATGTATATATGGGTGGGCAGCAGGCCCGGACTGGCCATCGGGCACACCGGGCAAATGCCCGGTGGGCCGCGGTGGCCATGGGCCGAGGCCGGCAGGGGAGATCACAGGATCTCCCCTGCCGGTCTATGCAGGGCCGGCACTCTCCTAGCGCCGGCCCCGCTGTTTGTCACGACGGGCCGGTGGGGGGATCAAGGATCTCCCTGACCGGCCCACATGCGGCCGCCGGCGGGGAGGGAGGGAGGGAGCCAGCCAGCTAGGCTGGAGAGAGGACCCGGCGGAGCTCTAACTTGCAGCTCCGCCGGGTTCCTCTCGCGAGATCCGGCGCGTTGCCATGGCAACGACCGGATCTCGCGAGAGTGAACTCTAGCCTCACAGGCTAGAGTTCACTCACCCACGAGGACCACCAGGGAACCCCGCCACCCCGCCTTCCAGCGTGCCGGACCCCCCCTCCCAGGCTAAAGGTAAGAAGGGAGGGGGGGAAATAATGACTTTTTTATTTTTTTTATTTACCCCCCCTACACACACACACAATAACATTTATACAGCACTCTCACACCCATCACACACAGCACTCTCTCCCACAGCACTCTCACACCCATCACACACAGCACTCTCTCCCACAGCACTCTCACACCCATCACACACAGCACTCTCTCCCACAGCACTCTCACACCCATCACACACAGCACTCTCTCCACAGCACTCTCACACCCATCACACACAGCACTCTCTCCCACAGCACTCTCACACCCATCACACACAGCACTCTCTCCCAAAGCACTCTCACACCCATCACACACAGCACTCTCTCCCACAGCACTCTCACACCCATCACACACAGCACTCTCTCCCACAGCACTCTCACACCCATCACACACAGCACTCTCTCCCACAGCACTCTCACACCCATCACACACAGCACTCTCACACAGCACTCTCACACAGCACACACACAGCACTCTCACCCATCACACACAGCACTCTCACCCATCACACACAGCACTCTCACACACATTACACACAGCACTCTCTCACACAGCACTCTCACACCCATCACACACAGCACTCTCTCACACAGCACTCTCACACCCATCACACACAGCACTATCACACACAGCACTATCACACACAGCACTCTCACACCCAGCACTCA